TGGATTGTTTTGATTTTTTGAAGGGGTTTGCGGACCAAGGCCATCTTGCCGTGTTTTTGAGATTTGGGAAATGTGACGGACTCATTTTTGGATTCGGGAGCCGAGGCCATCTTGGGTAATGTTAAGGGACTTTTTGAGGCCAATTCAATTGCAAGCCACAGTTGCAAACCTTGTAGCATTTTGGCTCTTGAGGTAATTCACACTTTTGTTTTCCTTGCAGTGCACAATGGCTTTCACGTGTGAAACAGGCGCTGAGAAGGTGTGGAGAACCAACAACCAGGCTTTGGTTCTTGATTTGGCTGGGACTTTTGTTCTTGCCAAAGCATTGTGCCCGAGGGCACGAGTGGGGCTTCAGTAGAAACGAGGAAAAGGCCTACTGCAACTTCCACTGCACGGCCAAGTTGGAAGAGTGCTTCCAACCTGATTCAGACGAAGAAGATGGCCGGGCTCCCGTGCACAAACGGTGCAACTACAAGAAGACATGGCGCGCTCCAGGAACTTTGCCGCACTACTTGCCCACCTGTGTGACGCCGGCGAATTACCTGCGATGTTTGTACTGGTTTTCTTCAGATGCAACTCGGAAGCAATGCTTGAAGGAAACCGGAGTGAAGCGCAAGGCGTGGACCAAGACCAAGATTGTTCACCGCTTGCGCAGCATTTTGTGGCTGGTCATTGAGCAGGCGATGTGTGGGCAAATGATGGGAGGGCCAGGGAAAGTGGTTTGCGTGGACGAGGCGTTCTTTGTGAAGAAGAAGCGGGCCAAGGGTGGTTTTTCCGGAAGGACGACTGCGGGACACAAGACCTTGGTCATGGGCTTCTTAGAATTGGATTTGGCCACTCGCAAAGCCACTGGTGCGTGTGTCTTGATCGAAATTCCTGATCGCAAAGCGAAAACCATGCGAGACTTAATCTTCACAGATTCGCACAAAGCATACCAGGGGATGAGTCGCAGGGACAGCCCGTACGTTCACAGGGCTGTGAACCATTCCAAGGGGGAGTTTGCTAGAACCGAGATGCTTTTCGGGCAGGAGGTGCGAGTCTCGACCAACGCAGTGGAAGGCTTGTTTGGTCGGACTAAGAAGTATTTTCGCCAGCGTGGCCTCGGGCGAGTTGGGAAGAATTCTTACGGGCATCTCTTGGCAGAGTTCATGTGGAGGCAGCGCACCTTGGCAAGATTTGTGTTTTCTGCGTTTACTGGATTGTTTGTTGGAACCAATTTAACGAGGTGTTGGATGCCTTTGCACTTTTGTTTCGCCTTTTGTTTGAAAGTGTCTCCGCGCACGAAGTCTGTGTCGCTCAGGTTGCTCTGCTTCTGGCGTGGAGCCCTTCCGGAATTTGCTTTCTGAGATTGAAGAGTGGCAGAAAAGGCACCCTTCATTCATCGCGTGCCCTTCCCCGATGGAAACTCCTGAGGATGCGAAGAAGGAGTTCGAGAGCTTGTTGGAGGACACGCCCCCGGAGCAACTTCCACCGCCCCAAGCCAGCCATCTGCCTGTCTCTTCTGCAGCTACGATGCCTTCCCCGATGGGCCAGCGGAGGTTTGCAACAGTGACAGTGATGTGGAGATGGTGGGTATCAAGTTTGCGCGCAGCAGCAAACTGGTGCCGGTGAAAATGGAGCCGAGAATCAAGACGGAGCCGAGACCAGGACCGCAGCGAGCCGGCGGTGATGAGCTGTGAGCCCGCAGTGAGGGCAGTGAGCGGGCAATTTTGTCGCCAGGGTCACGAGATGACTTTGGAAGAGGCTGCCTATGACCCATCTTGGGCGGTTAAAAAGCGGCGCCGGGTGGCAATGGCCACCACAGACCGCATTGTGTGTGACAAGTGCTCGCAGCATGCAGTCTACCACATGGCGTTGCGGCAAATGTGATTGGGACATTTGCCAATCATGTGCTGCAAGCTCTTAGCGCAGCGACATTAGCTTTGGATGCGCGAAAAAATGCAGCGAGTTGGCGATTTGGGATGGTGAGGTGAAGTTTGTTTGGTGGATGGCACGCCCAAATTGTTTTCACAGAAGCTGTGTGTGTTGAGGATGTCACGCCAAGGGTGCTTGTGGAGCTTTTGCCATGCCGTTTCCCGCTAAAGGCCGTTTCCCACCAAAGGCCGCTTCCTGCCCAGAGCCGTTTCCAACCAAATGCTTCTCGCCACTTAAAGGAGCTTCCTACCGGAAGACAGTTTTGTGTTTTGAAGGATGTTTCCGTGCAAGAGCCTTTTCTTGCGCAAGGCCGTTTCCGACCAGGGGCCTTTTCCTGCCACAGCTCGTTTCCTACCCCGGGCTCTCCACCCCCGGCTGGGCCTCCAACTTGGTGATGTAGAAGTTGTCGGGCTCGCGGGAGAAAAGTCCGATGAACGTGGGTGATCTTTCTCTTGAAAATGCCAAGACTCCGAGCTTTTCTGCGGCACGAGTTGGTGGGCAGGGCCTTCGAGGCGGCGGTCGAAATTTGAACGACGTTTCCGCCAGGACACTCCACGGAGTGCAGCCGTGCGCTGACGACGCCCTTGTTGAGGAGGGCGACGCGCTGGTGCTGAGGGCCCGTGGGTCGTCGAGAGCCCGGCCACCGTTCATGGAGGATTCGACCGGCAACCGCGTGCCGCGCCCCATGCTCTGGGGTTGGGTTGCAGTTTGACAACCGTGGGTTGGCGTCGATTGCCCATGTGGATGATCTGCAGGGGGAGGGGCCCGGTTTGTGCTTGACTTGCTGTGGCTGGAAGTCGCCCAGCAGCAAGAACCAGGTCCGCCCATGTCCAGCTGCGTGATCTCCTCCGCGACCAGCCAGTCCAGCCGCACGCCGTTTGCGCGCCCAGGTCTTCCAGACCAGACGCACGCTTGCGCAGCCTGGCACGATCGTCCGGGCCGGTGCGAGGGCAAGCCACCAAGTTGGCAACCCCACCAAGTGGCAAGCCCACCAAGTTGCCAAGCCCACCTAGTTGGGAAGTCCACCTAGTTGCCAAGTCCACCAAGGATCAAGTTGGCAAGCCCAGTTGACAACCCCATCAGTTTGCAAGCCCCCCATGTTCGCAACAAGCAAGTTGGCAACCCCATCAAGTTGGCAAGCCCACCAAGTTGACAACTCCATCAAGTTGGCAAGCCCACCATGTTCGCAACCCCTCCAAGTTGGCAAGCCCACCAAGTTGGCAAGCCCAACTGCAAGTCCACCAAGACTGCAGTCTTGTGCCTGTGAGTTGTTTCCTTTCCCTTTGGATTCTGAGTTGCCTTTTTGCTCTTATTGTATCAGTCTCAGAATTGAATCCAAAGGTTTCAGAAACATGAACGTAATGGACTTCTTCGCAAACGGCTTGATCTTTCTCTCTTCTTCAATGATGGTGGTGCCGGCTCGCATTTTGTATTTTGCTTGCTATGCCTTATCTTCATGGGGCGCGTCGGATCTTGAAGAATGCGGACTTGGAGGAATGGATTTTGTTGGAAGATCTGTCCGGTTCTTCTTCCTCTTCTGTTGGACCAAAGTTTCGGAACAGATGTAGATTCGATATATGTTCCGTCCGGCGGTGTCCCAGCGATGGCCCGCCTGCATACTGTTTTTAGAGGAGAGGCTCCTCCATACGTTGTCAACGTCCCTTGGAGCAGTTCCTGCTGAAGTCGATCTTGAGAAGGCTGAAATCGTCCAGGATGATTGCTCTCGATGTAGTTCGTAATTTGTCCAGCTTTGGTTTTGTTGAGTGTTGCTGTTTAGTGCTGCGCCGTTTTTTTTTCTTTTTCTCGAAGCGATGTAGGAATTGTTCTTCAAACTGCGCTTTGTTGAATGTAGGTTCTAGTAGTTTGGTAAGGTAGCCAACACTTCTTGTTCCTACTGGTAGGCTGAACCTGTTGTGTGGGAGTCGCAGTGTTTCGCATCCGTTGCGTTGTGGCGCTCTGACAGATGTTGATAAGGATGTAGGGTCGAGTATGTGTGTTCTGATGTCTGTGTCTTCAATATGTTGGCCACTTGTGCTCGCTGTAGCACCAGGTCGAAGTCTCGGTCTATGGCCAAGGTGTGCTTGTAGTTTGAACAGCCAGTCTTCATACTAGGAGAAGTCGGTGGCAGTTAGTATTTATGTAGTCTCTGAACTTGTTCTGTTCCTGCTCCCGTAGTGGTGGCTCCTACTGTGTCTGCTGTTGGCCCGTTCTCTGCTCCTGTAGTTTGTTGTGCTGAGGCTGATGCTGCTTCTCCTGACATGTCGTAGTAGTTTGGCATGTGACTGCTGTTGCTGTGGTTGTAGTACTTACTGCTAACTGGAGCTCCCCTATGTTTAGGATCTCAGCTCCGCTACCACGTTAAAATTGGTTGCTACTTTTACTTACAAGTGCAAGTGTGAACATACATGCAACACAACTGCAGGAAGTGAAGCATGTAGTTTGACATCTCTCTCTCTTCTCCTCGCTCTTTTGGCGGAGTTGGTTCCTCGCCGGCGTTGGCCTTTGCTTCTGCTGGTCAAACACAAAAGTCAGATGGCCTCGACTTTGAGACGCTTAAAACTTGTCCTCAACCTGTCTGTCGAAGCGGATGCTGCGCGCTCATTTTCAGAACCCTATTTGAGACAACTACAAAGAAATGTTCCGTGCAGATCCCATGTGACACACTTGGAGGTCAAACGTCACAGCTTTCTCTTTGTTCGTTTGGCTTTCAATTGGCGTGATTATCCATGCTGCGCTTGGAACCTGGTTCAAGCTACCATGGCCAATTTAGATTTTGCTTTGTGCTTGATTAGCCCACCTTAGCTGCACTCGGAGTTCCTTTTTGTTTAGCAGAAGCAGTGCGGACACATTGTGGCTTTCATTTCTACGGCAAGGATGCCAAGTGGACAGGTGCGCTTTCCGCTGTTTCGCGTAGACACACATTTTGCGCTCCCAACGTCCCGGTGCACCAAACCGTCAGCACATGTGTTTCGGCACTGATCGTTTTTCCACCCCAAACCCTAAACCCTTCGAGTGGAAGTCAGGGTATAAGCGTGATTCGGTTGGTCGTTGCGGGGCCGGCATTTAGGCATCCGGCTGAAGGAACCATGACGTGTATGAATTTGGATTCTATGAACAATCGTTTGTTTCTCCCCGGGTTTTAGGTTTGAGTCTTTTGGCCTTTGGTTTTGACTTTTGCTGCATATGACGGGCTTTCCACCATTCACAAGTCTAAATTTGCGCTGAACAGTCCTAAAAAACCCACCCTAAACCCACTCCGACCCATCCTGAACGCACCCAATTCCAATCTGTAACCACCCTGAACAGACCCAACCCTAAACACAACAGAAACTAATCCTAAGACCAATCCGCAAACCAACCCTCAACCCATGTCAAACCAATAAGCCCATCCTAATTCCAGCTTAGAACAACACCATGCCCATCATACACCAGCCCTACAACTTGTTGTGTTGCATTGTTTTTTTGAACCCCTTGCCACACCCATCCAAACCGCAACTCAACCAAATTCAAAGCCTGAACCAAAGAACAACACCCAACACTCGCACGCTCACCCAAAACAATCCCAACACTCACCCAGTACCCCCCCAAAATAGGCAGAAAACAAACCAAAGCCAAAGCGAACTGCAAACCACGTCGAAACCCAGACCAAACGCGTAAAACAGCCAATGTTCTCAAAAAGCTGTAAACTACAGCTGGAGTGGACGTGTTGACCATGGGGGGCTCAAGCAAGAAACAGTCCCCAGCAACAGACGCTACAAGAATTGCATATCTGGCGCGCGCAATATCGGTTTGATGGGAACACTGGTAAAAACAGGGCTATCACAAGTCTTAATTCACACCTCAAATTAAAGAAGACGTGTAGAGACTCGTGCTCGCTTGGCGTTCCACCGCGAGTTGGCAGCCCTGAGCTCAGATTGTCAGGTTTGAAGTGTTTGCGAGGGGCTCACAAGTTGTCGATTCATTTTCATGAGGCTGTAGTTCTTTGTGCGAATGCACATATCGACATAGAAGCCACAGGCATCACTTCGTAGATGCATGTTTGCAACACAGCCATTTTCGTTCTTCTTACATATTTTCAATATGAGCAAAGGTATGTCTGCGGCTAAAGAAGCCCTGGCGCGCATGCGAGCAGCTCGCCGCCAACTCAGTGATGACCAGCTGCAACGCGTCGCATCGGATGCTTTTTCTTATACACGGGTTCTCATAAACGGGTCCCAGCTTGCACCAAAGAAGAATCATGTGTGTAGCGTGTTGGAAGCCTTTTGTTCGAACCCATTGAGCGGATCAGCCAACCCTGGCCAACTGTGGAACTGCTGTTTGGGCAATCGTCAGACCGCTAAACGAGATTTTCCCAGGCGAAACCGGCGTGTCCTGCGTGGAGCAGTACAAAGTTCCGGACCGCATCAAATGGTTGCATCATTTGTGACAGAAGGCTGTTGCTTGGTCCAGGGCTCATTGAAAGATCATCCAGCTTTGTATGCCCTGGTCATTGATGGGACTGCAGCATTGCGAGCCTTGCAATCAACATGTGGCCGGTATACTGGCAGGAACCCAAAAAGATCATTCAGGAGGTGGGCCGGGCTGTGGTGCGTCGATTCTGAGGTTGTTTCCTTGGCGATGCTTGCCAGGCTTTGAGTGGTAGAAAACAACATGCCAGGACTATGTACGCGTATTTTTGTGCTTGCCTCGACGCTTGTTTTTATGTTACGGTTCTACCTGGCAGCACTTTCAGATATTTTTCAGTGAAGTTTTTGAAGGTGTTTCGGTGCAGACTTGAGCTGCGTTTTACGGCGGTCCCTTCAGGTGAGTGAGAAGGAGTACCGTGACATCGTAGAGCAGCGGCGATCTGACTGGGCTTCTGACCCAGTGCTTGGAGAAGCGGTTGTGCTGCGAGTGGACAGGTTTTCCTGCAACATTTGTCCAAATCGAAGAGGTGTAATTGGTGCCATGGCCAAAATAACACCCTTTGAGGCATTTTTTTGTTTTTACGGCCGATCATCAAGGCTTCAAAGAGATTTGTGGGGGGCCAATGCAAGAATTCCAAGTGAAGCAACCGTGTCCATGACTCTCGCGTTTTGACATGGCCTTTTTCTCGGGCCTCCGCGTTGAGGTCGTGGGCGACAGCGGCTACGTGGACAACGGCAAGGAGCTGTGGCAGGGCCCCGAAGCTGCCAGGAACCGAGAGGAAGCGCGAGAGCATTCCGAGGTCCGGGTCATGTGAGGTGCCCAACACCCCAATCTTTCGATGCTTCCTGGTCGGCCTGGTCGGGTTTGGAACCAAAAGTCAATGGGTTTTAACAGCTCCAGGCCAAACAGCGAGCGCGGGCTGACGAGGCGGAGAGGCGGAAACCACCACGGCTCTTGATGTGTAGCCTTTCATCCCCGGCTTGGGTGGTTGGTTGCAAAGCCTGCGTCATACTGCTTGTTTCTAAGTGCATGAACACCTTTGCTTCACTCAGCTGCATGAAGGCCGTGAAGCTCTCTGAGCAGCAACATGGCTGTGGCTCAAATAATATATCCAAAGTGGCATCTTGGTATATGGAAACTAAGAACCTGCGTAACCCAGCTGCTTAATTCTGAGCCACACCCACATGAAATGCCATGGTCTCTCCATGGCTACGGCCTTGATTGCACATTTGCGACACCGGCCTGCGATGCATTTTTTTTTCCAGGATGCCGATGACGTTGGGCCGGTGTCTATGAGTCAGGGTGGTTGGGGCAGTTTCTAACCCGGACACTTCTCGACTTTGCGCGTTTTGCATTTTATTTGAGTTCGAGACGCATCATCTGGCCATCTGGCCATTTTGGCCATGGGTTACGGGCCCCTATTCCGCAGGAAGCTTTTGGCAGAGATGGAGGCTGACTCTGGCAAGAAGCCCAAGGCCAAGGCCAAGCCCGCGCCCTGACTTGATGCTTTTGGGAGGGACGTGGACTTGCGTTTCCGGCAAATATCCTAGGCTTTCATGTCAGCTGGCCCTTTTTTCTGCTTTTTTGCCCAAATCCGCATGTCCGATGGCCTTCGGCCATGAACATCAAGCAGAAACCGCGGTGACTCGAACAGGCACCAGAGCAATCTAGGGGCTGCGCCAGGCTGCCAGAGTTTCTTTGGCTTGCCTCTAACCCAGTAAAGCGGGTTGATTCGTAGCCTTTGTCCATCTCGTTCGCCGAGGACTCAGCTCCATCTCCCCCTTCTGGTCGCGGGGTGCCGGACTGAGATCTCTGTGGTCACATTCCCCCCTGGTTTGTTCGCCCGCAAGGGCGCTCAAAGAGGTCAGCAACTCATCCCAGGTTGCGCTCGGGCCTCGTTGCCCTTTTTTTTCAGGCCTTGCTGGGTGCTCTGCAGAAGGGCGCAGCGAGCCCAGTGCGGTTCGACCTTTTCGGTGCAAAGAGCAGCGTTTGTTTCGACTTCAGAAAGCATCTGACAGGTGGACAGGATACTGGGGTTTGTAAATCTCCGGATTGTTTTTCTTTTTCTTGCTGCATGAGGTTTGGGTGTCATGACTCTGTGAACTGAAGGCTGCTGCGGTCTCCAACTTGCGATCTTCTCCTAACAAGAAGGCCTTGGGACAAGTCTGTGGCTGGCAACTGGTGCCTGGCAGTTGGGAAGACCTTCGGATGTTTAAGCCATCGACTCTCCGTTTTCAAGGCGCCCCTTCGCGCCTTGGGAACCGGTGGGCTTGTTCGCTATGGCAAGAAATTATGAGCAGGAGAACAAGGTGGTGGACGACCTGTGCTGTTCTCAGGGCTCGAGCTGAAAAGCTTGTCACCAGGTTGTGGCGAGTGGAATTTTTGGATGGGGAAGACCCCAAAGAACCAATTGGTTGGTGGACAGGAATCCCCCAAAAAACGTGTCCAACAGAAAGGGTCCCATTTGTAATTCACAGACATGTGACTCTGCTTGAGCCTGATGAGAGGGTTTCAGCAGAAGTGATGTCCGAAAGGTCGGCATCGCTGCGTTGACAAGGGCACGGTTCCGCAACGGCTTTGGGCTCACCAGCTGGGCGAAAAGGGCGGCGCCATCCGTTCCGTGCCAAAGGGCCATCCGTGACTTGGGAATCGTTCGAAAGCCTGGCCTTTGCCTGCAGCATGACGCCTGGCTGCGTCAAATGGCCATGGGTTAAAAGCTCGTACTTCCAGTGAACATCCCAATCCCCACTAAGATAGGTTCTCAAATGGGTGGTGCATTAACCTACCCCAGAATGGTTCCATTGGTTTTGACCCACAGCCGAATGGCAGGCCTTACCTTGTGACGCTGTCGCTGTGTTCGTCGGATCTGCTCCTAGTGTTTCCTTCCACGGCTTTCCTGGCTGGGGTCCTATTTTGGGGAGGTTCGGGAAGGAGGGCTCGAATTATATGTTCGTTGCCTGAGTGAACGGAGGACGGTGATGACAGTCAAGAACACCTTTCTGGAGGCAGGCAGTTCAAGTCGACGGAGGACAACCTCAGTCCTTTGTTCGGGCCCAAAGTGGCAGCTCCATTTGAATTGAACCAGTCAATTGGTCAGCTTGTGCGGTTCTCGCGCCAATTCTTTTCCGGACCCCCCCTCCCCCAACAAAGTCGCTTTTCTTTGGTGCATGTTGCTTGGCTGTTAGGACTTTAACTTTTTGATCCAACTATTGGGTTTTCCGTATTAAACCACTAAAAGTTAAAAACTTTTAGCCGGGGAGCATTTCGCAACCGAGTTTTCTTGGGCCTCAGAAAAAAAAAACCTAGCACATCCCCCCAACCGGATCACTTTTTTTGGGACTCGGACAAAAAACCATCCCTTTGAATCCAAGGAGAGCACACACGCACACACACACCATGGTCAAAAAACCCTGAGAAAAAAGTAGATTAAAAAAAACAAACAAAAACACGCAAAACACACACACACACACAAAAAAAACAACAACACCTTTAGCACATCCCTGAGAATCCAAGGTCTAACAAACACACTCGGCATGGAACCTTCGAGGGCGCTTCCGGCCAGGCCTTCGACGAAAAGGCGGAGGCCGAGCCACTGCGCAGGGTTCGGTCCTGCAGCGACCTGCCGGGGGCCCCGAGACGAGGGAACGAGGTGACTGGGCATCCATTTTTTGGGCCTGGTTTGAAGGGACAACAAACAGCACAAGTAATTAAGAGGAAACTAGCAGTTTTGGGGGGAACCGCTCCAGTGGGTAGGTGGTTTGTGCCAGTATCAGCATTCATTTTAAGGGTTTACAAGTATCCTTCTTGGGCAAGTTTGTATGTGAGGTTGATTCGAGTCCCAAACAGGTCTGGAGTCTCAAACCAATGTGGGGCATCCCTGGGTGAGTTTTGGGCTTTGGGTGTGCAAAGGGCAAACCCAAAGGACGACTAAACAAGAGATTGACGACAACTGGTGCCAAAACGAAGTCGGTTTTTTCCTTTTCGGGTTCCCTAAAGAAGACCCACATTGGAAACAGGCTTAGGATTTCGGCTGAGGCCCGATGACCTTTCTATGCATTCAGAAGGCGCGGGCCTGGGCGCGAGGTCCGAGTGCTTGTGTTGGCGTAACCCCATGGGTCCCTCCTGGGTACCCGTCTATGTTCAGAGGCTCGGAGAGCAGCGAGCAAGACGACACAGACTTCAGCCGCGCGGCTGGATTGGAGCGATTTGGGGAAATCGATTCGGGGAAATCGATTTGCACGGCTTGGGGCTGGGCTTGGGAATTGCTCGGTCAAGAGAGGGATGCGCTGCTTCTTGACTTGTGTTGCTTTTTTTGGTTCTTCTCCAGTCTAAGGTGTTGATGTCAGCACGCTGAACCAAAGCTTCGGGCCCTTGTTGTCGGCCAATCGGGTATATCAGCACATCCTCTCTCTCAAGATACTGCCTTCTGTCCGTTCACGTCCACGCAAGGACGGCACGTATTCGAGGCAGATTGTCTTCGAGCCATATCGCGCAATTGAGTCCAAATCCAAGCTATGAAAGGCCTTACCCTTTACACCATCAATTCCATCTTTGCGGGTCTCTCCTTTTTGCTGGGCATTTCCATGTGGGGCGGCTTCCCATTTTTCAAGGTGTGCCGATGTATGAGATGATAGCCGCGACCTCAAGCTTCAGCCTGGTATTTTATTTTTCGAGACGAGCGCAGAGTGAAGTAGCAGAGCTAATCCTTGATTGAAACGACTCGAAGCAGGATGGATGCGTCCTGAAAGAGAAGTGTATAACTTGGCAATGTCGAACCCAACTGCAACTGCAAGGTCAAAAATACATTCGTGGAGATGCAGGACTCTCGCAGCTGGACTAGTATGTTCCATAATTTGTCCACTTTGAGCTTGCTTGCCCAAGCCGCTAAATCTGGATTTTTCAGATGCCAACATGCTTTTGTACAGGCTTTGGGGCTTCGGCTTGCGCAGGAGTGTCGCCCTCCGCTCCGCAGAAGCTTGTCTGACGGTGACATCCAGGCGAAAATCTCTGAGGTGCCCGAAGGATATCTAATGTCCAATCCACCAAACCACCTATTCTTGGTGATTCCCCGTCCGGTCCCCTTAGGTTTTTTGTTGTTTTAGTTGGTTTAGCGGGGGTTTCCATGTAACCCACTAAAAGTGAAACTTCTAGCAGGGGATCTGGAGACAGCCCAGTATTGAGGGTAAGGTGTACCTTTCCAAAAGCAAAGACCGCCCTTGCAGCAGGCAGAGTCGCAAGAGGAGCCGCAAAAGGCACTGCTGAGGGGGGCGCTGTGGTTGATTTTGCCGAGCCTTCGCTGAGCCTCCGGGCATGCTCCAAAGGGGGGGCCCAGAGAAAAAGCACAGGTTGGGAGGCCCCCTTTCCCCACGCATCTTGCTGTGACTTTCTCTCGATGGGCATGGGTCATGGTCTGGGAGCTCATTCCCACCGCGAAGGCTGGAGCCAGCTTCGGCCCGGTTTTGGCTTGTGTGAGATGGGTATGGGTCAAAGTTTTTAACCACGAAAACCGCATTTTTTTTGGTCCAAGTGTCCATTTACCAGGCCAGGATTCCATTTTGGGGGCGAGATGTCCAATGGCCGATTGCCAGGCCCATGCTCTGCGAGCCGCGACCCTTCCCAACCCGCAGCCGGGGACTCGGGGACTCGGGACCCAGCGCTCCGGTGGGCGAACCAAAGGGAAACCCGAAGGTGCAAACAAGGTCTGCCGAAATCACTTCGGGAACCTGCCCAAAAGGAGGTTGTTTAAACAGAAGTTTCAACAGGTTGGGGGTTGAATCGCCCGTTGCTGGTGTCCAGCTTCATGGTCGTTTTGTTCTGTTGGCTGGTGGAAATAGATGGTTCGCTCTTGTAGCCCAACCCCTTTCCCTTCACAAGGACAGCCTTGTTTCCTACCTTGCTTGCTGCCCTGTTCATTGTAACATTGTGTGGGTTCAGATGTTCTGCCTGCTGGCTTCACAGCTTAACTAGCGTGCATGCGTAAACACGGGTTTTCGGCATTCAAACACAAAGAACCGGCTGGAGCGCCAGATTACGTTCCCTTCCCACCTTCCTGAACTCTTGAAGTGGAAGAACCTTTTCGCCACTGCACTGTGCAACAGTCTATGTCGTGGCTCCGTCCAGTTTTCATCAGGGGCAATGCTTTCTCCCACTGCGAGGCATCCAGCGACAGGCCTGGCGGCTGATGTTGATTGATGCTGCAAGTCAGCTTGTATGCCCATTTTGGTGCCCGAGCTACGAATGGACAGCCAGAAACAAATCTCTGGCTGGCTCATGCCATGCCTCCAGCGGATTCTTTTCCTGGGTCTCACACAGCCACAAATCTGGGTTGTGGCCTGGGCCTCAGGGTTCCATCCCCAAGGTCGGTTGATATTCAAGCCATTTTGAGCTCTGGGGTACTGGAAAGCGGCTTCAGGGCAGAAGAAGGGGCTTTTGTATTTGCGGTCAGGTTTCTCAAGTCATCCCCGTTTGGAGGCGTTTGACGCTTGTTTCTCTCTGCCACAATTGGGGAGGGTTCGAGTGCCCTCAGCATCATCTGCTTTGTCTGCTTTTGGTAGATGCGGCTGGTGTTCAGTTGGATTGTTGGCTTGGTCATGATCTTGCCGCTTTCCATGGGCACTCGACCTCCAAGCAACATCCCCCACAATCTCCCTGGTTTTCCCAGTACGTCCTCAACATCCTAATGATTTTGGGGTGTAGCAAGCCCTCCCTTGAACTTGGTTTACCTCCATCGACTCGTGTCGGCATATTTCTGCGGTTTGTTTTGCGCGGCTTGTTGTACAGTGAAGGTGGCTGATCGAAGCCTGGGCTTGGACCTGCAAGCTGCCCTTTGCTTCGCCTTTGGTTGTGCACAGTTCCCAGAAACCAAAGACCCCTCAGGGTTGCTCTCCTGCTCGTTTCCTGGCAGCAACTTGTTCGCATGCAGGTGGTTCGGCACCGTTTCAAGGACAGCCTTGATGCGGTGCGGTGCAGATTCACTGTGATGATGACTCTTTCATGAGATTTGTTTGGCTGAAGGTGTTTCGTGTCAAAATGGGGTCGGAGCGCCTTCCTCCTTGATGGAAGTGTTGACCAAAGAGAATAGCAAAAAGGAAGGCACCCACCCAAGTCCCTAATTTTGAGACACATCTACAACAAAAAACCGCGTCCAATCTGAGTAGGTGCCATGGTTTCTTTTTCTCGCCTTTTTCCGATTTGTAAAATCTCAAGCAGCAACAGCTTTTTCGCCTTCTTTCAAATTGCAAGATGTCTGAAAACCAGCAAACGCCAGCCCTTTTTCCGGGGGTTCGGCTATGCCTGGCCGAACAGACCCAGCTCCGCACGAGC